CAGCAGGACGATGTCAGCCAGTACCCCGAACATCTGGTAGAGCCCGGAAGCCTCGTTCACGCGCCGGATGATGGTGCTGGTCAGCTGCGTGATGGGGTGCTCGGTGCAAGGCCAGGCGACGCCGTGGTGGCGATACTCCAGGAGCCGGTGGACAGCCCGCACTGGATGGCCAGAGGGAGGGACGGCAGCTGCACTCAGATGCCATCTCTGGTCACCAGGAGGGGCACATGGCCTCTCCAGTTCTGAACTCCACGCACAGCTGCCTACACAGCTCAGCGCCCAGTCTGTGGGCGGTAAGCGGGCCCAGCGAGGAGCCGAAGATGCCTTGGCAGGGGAGTCAGCAGGCGTTTGCTGCCAAGGGCCAGATGTAACTGTGGCCTGCTCCGGGCCATGAGTACTCAAGGTACCACTCAGTTCTGTCCTGGCGCGGGAGCTGCCCTGGAGGGGCAAATGGCCGGGCCTGCTGCCTCGGTCCCCAGGCCTCCTAGCCTGCCCCTGCGCAGGCTTCCGTCCAGTTCCTTTCTCACTGCTCTGCAGCCCACCCTGCCTCACCTCACCGGAGCCAAGCTCTCCGTCTTTCCTGACTTCCTGCAGCTGGTCTCCCTGACTCCGGTCCAGTCTCTGGGGTTCCCACCCGAACAACTTCCCAGCCCCGCCCCCATGCAAGTGCCACGCTGTCACCTTACAGCAGTCATCAAGGCTAGACCCATGGGCCGTAACACAGCTGGACCCACACGGGGAAAGTCCCGGTTGGCGTCCTGCAGCCTCTCTGAGCTCACCCACGATCTGGGCTGAGACCACGGAAGATGGCTGCATGAGGGCCCTGCTGGGGTGCTCGCATCTCTCCCTCTCATGGAAATAAATAAACTCAGAAATAGAAGATGAGATAGAGCTCTCCTCTGAAAGGTTCCCTTCTCATAGCCCACTTCTATCAGATTCCACCTGGGAACCTGACCACCTGGCCGCTCTCTCTGTCAGCTGGTCTCCGAGCTCTGTCCTGAGACACTGTGCGCATTTACGTGGGCTCTACGTGCAGCTGCCGTCTCAACCACAGGGAGATGGCCTTACGCACACCTGGGCCGTCCGACAGAGCGGCTGGACTGCTGCATCACACAGGCCGGCGCCTGCTCTTTCTAATCACTCAACGAAGCACTCAAGGGACCAGCAGTTGGCGTAATGGCTATGTTGTTGGACTCCCATATGATCGACCGCAGTTCGAGGCCTGGACCCGGTAGCTTAAACTCATGCTGGGTGCGTGTGCATGCATGCCAAGATTCCAAGAGGAGAATGGAGGAGAAGGATTGCAACGTGGCCATCCACCTGGGGGGTGATTTCTCGCTTTCTGTCTCTCTGTCTCTCTCTATCTGTCTGGCAAGCACATGTGCCCTATAGCAAAACCTCTGCAAAAAAAAAAAAAAAAAAAAGACAGTGTTGGGCTATGTGCAATCCCTTTCCTTGGCCTCCCAGCTGGGATCATGGGCATGCACCACTACGCCTGGTTCTATTTCAGATACTTCTTGCCATATTGCCCAGGCCAGCCTCAGGCACGTGATCCTTCTGTCTCAGCCTTCTGGGTCCCTGGGATGATGCATAGGCCACTTGCCTGGCCTTGAGGTTAGACTGGGACTTGAACCCACAACCCCTATGCTGTCCTAGCCTATGGGGCACAGCATTTCAGCGGTGTGTGCCACTACGGTTGGGTGGGGAAGAAATGAGGTTGAGAGAGGGCCTGATGCATTTTGAAAAGCAGAGTCTGCGTGGAGAAGTGGTGAGTGCTAAGGTGGGGAGGTGAGCTGGTGCTGGCCTGGGCGAGGCTCTTACAGACATGCCGAGGGACTGCCACTCTCCTGAGGGAGATGGGGGCCCTGAAGAATTGTAGGTAGAGGAAGAATGGGATGTGCTAAAGAAAGGGGCCAGCAGGTGGCGTGGTGGGTAAGGTGCTGAATCTCACATGGTTAACTCCACGGTTTGAATCCCACAATCGGCAGCCTGAAAAAAAGACACCCGGCGCGTGTATGTGCATCCTCAAGATCCTGAGAGAAGGTACTGTGGCATGGCCATCTCCCGGGGGTGATTTCTCACTTTCTCTCGCTCATTGTCTTTCTCTGATGAGTGCATGTGCCCTACGGTGAAACTCTGGGGGTGGGGGTGGGAGGTTGTTCAGGCGGGAACTGCGGAGACTGGGCAGGAGTCAGGGAGACCAGCGGCAGGAAGTCAGGAAAGACGGCTTGGCTCTGTGAGGTGAGGCAGGGTGGACTGCAGAGCAATGAGAAAGGAACTGGATGGAGTCTCTGGCGTGTCCTGCCTTCCACACAGCGGCGGGCTGTGCCACCATCTTTATCTTCCGTCACCTTTCTCTGCCCTGCGGCCTTTTCCTTGTCTCTCCTGGGACTGTTTCTCAGCTGGAGGATGAGCACAGTCCAGGCGGACGCTACCGCACACGGCCATGCTGGCCCTCTCCCCAGTGGGGCCCCCGCCACTCAGTGACCGCAGCAGTCGGCTGCCCGTACACCCAGCATGGGTTCCCAAGTGCCTGAAGCTCGAGGCTAGGTGTGAGTGGTCAAGTCAGACAGCTGTGGATTGACTCCCCGGGTGACTCTGGGAGGTCACTTAACTTCTCTATGTCCCAGTTTCCTTATCTGGAAAATGGAGTTGAAACAACAGGATCTTGGGTTGGCCTTGAGGTCTGCTGGTTAAGGGAACTAAAGCCCACAGGAGGCATGGATCAAACCCCAGCCCTGGCAGCTTGAGACGCATGCTAGGCACGTGTGTGCGTGCACAGCATCCCAGCAGGATGAAGGGAGGACAAGGGAGTGCTGTGTGACCACGCCCCACAGGGGGTGTTTCTCCCCCACCCCATTTCTCTGTCTGGCAAGCATATGTGACTTCTGGCAACGGAAAAGAAAAAGAAGGAATAACAGGATCTGTCTCACAGGGGCTGTCATGAGGATTAAACTTGTGAGCTTGTGAGCTGAAGCAAGAACAGGGGAGGGAAGGAAGCAGGAGAAATGGGGTGGGGTCTGCCAGGACAGAGGACACCGAGAGGACAACGCGCACGGGAACGAGGGCTTCTTAGTGGGGACGCAGCGAACAGGCATTGTGTGTGTGTCAATTCGCAAATACTTTGGTTTACAAATGTTCGAACCCTCTCCTTCATTGACAGCTAACAGTGAGAATGAAATATATGATCTGGAAATTATCCCCAAAATGTGCTATCTTTCCCTGCCAAACTGGATGGACAATGAAATGCAAAAAGACACACGAAAGCAATGCAAGGTGTCAAATCAGACACAGAAACGTTAGGACGCGGATGGATTCTTTAGGCCCCGATGGTGTTTATGGCAAAATCGACTGGCCCACTTAACGTCCACCTGCAGTAAGACACACAGCTCCCATCTGCCAAGCTACCCAAGGAGCCCCTCTGTGTGGTTGCAGGGCTGCTAGTGGGACCTTCTACGGTCACCCTGTTTATTTCCAAAGGCAGGCGAGGACTTCAAGGAAGCTGATGGCAGACGCCCAGGCCTGCTTGAACTGAGTTATGCACAATCAAAACAAAACAATGGGAGCCAGAGATTGCCACTCAGGAACAGCCAGCCAGGCAGCCACACCCAACACCACACGCCCACTCTAACCCACGCCCCAGGGGCTGGAGTGGGGTCTCCCCACATGGAGACATGTGCCATGCATGTATTTCTATGTCTGAGCGTGTTCTACATGCCTTCCCTTTTACGCTAAAAAAAGTTCAAAACAAAACTTCATCAAGTTGAAAAAGGAGGAAGCTGGAAAGAGAAGAGATTGGAAAACAACGACCAAATTTTAGTTCTTTTTTTTTTGGCATAGGTGTGTATATTTACTGAAGAGAGACAGCAGAGAGGGAAAGCGAGAAATCACCCCCCGGGGGAATGGCCATAGCGCAATCCCTCCTCCTCCATTCTCCTCTCGGGATTTTGAGCATGCATGAACATGACCTGGTGGGAGTTTTCAACTGCCAGGTCTGGGACTCAAACCTCAGCTGGCCAAGTGGGAGTCCAGCAATGTAACCATTCCTCCATCTGTTATTGTTGTCAGTGTGTGGTGCTTAACTTGGATAGGGCTTAAGCATGCAACATGCCCCCCAAATGCACCTACTTTTAAATTTTATATGATCTTTTTTTTTTACTCTTTTAGGTTTTTGCCATAGGGTGCATGCACTCACGAGAGCGACAGAGAGAAGGAAAGTGAGAGATTATCCCCTGGGGGGATGGCCATGCTGCAAGCTGCAATCCTTTCTCCTCTAGGGATTTGGGTATGCACGCACATGTGCCCGATGTGATTTTCAAGCTGCCAGATCCAGAATTCAAACTGTGGTTGGCCAAATGAGAGTCCAGAATCCTAACTACCATGCCACCTGCTGGCCCCTCTTTTCTAGAGGGTACAAGCACGTAGTAGAAAGAGACAGAGAGACGGAGAGGGAGAAAGCACTCCCGAATGTGGCCTGGTCATGCTGCAATCCTTTCTCCACCACTTCTTGATCTTGGGATTTTGGGAATGCATGCGCATGTGCTCAGCGTGTTCCTTAAGCTACCCAGGCTGAGACTCGAACCTGCAGTCTGCCACGTGGGGTCTGGCTCCCTTACCCACTGGCTGCGGGGCTGGCCCTCCCCTGATATTTTCCTAGATGTATCCTCAGACGTAAGAACCTGTTGAGAACTACCCCAGGTAGCAATCACTCTCATGCCCCTGGAAACCAGGGTGTGTGTCCGTAAGTCCTGGGGACAGGATGGTAGTTCTGTCTGGGTACAGTGGTCCTCTCAGGTGGCTCACCCGTGTATCGGAATCCATGGATGAAGCCCCCAGCAGATTTCCGGTAGTCCACGGAGTGGCTGGCGGTACCCAGAATAAAGAGGCCCCGGCTTCCTTTGGACTCATAGCTAGCTCGGACCAGCGGGTACTTCTTGCCAAATGCACTCCCAGAGTTGAGTCTGAGGGACCTGTGAGTGGAAAGGGTCATTACTAAAATGACTGCTGTGTAAAGCGTCAGCGATTAAGTGGCATTAAGTGCTTTACGCTCCTCACCTCGTTTAAACCTCGCCAAGGCCCTCACGGTATCATCAGCTGCATTTAACCGAAGGATCAGGGCATCAAGAAAGTCAGAACGTGCTTTCCGATGTCTTTCTACGCAAAAGTGTTCCACGACTTCCCCAATGACCCAATAACCGAGGTTTAGGTTAAGGACATGACGGCACAGAGCCAGGACTTTGAGAGAATTATTTAATCTTATTATTTTTAAAAATGTGCTGTAGGGCATGTGTGCTCGCCAGAGGGAGACAGAGAGAGAGAGACAGCAACCCATCAGGTCTGGGACTCAACATGGTCGGCCACGTGGGAGTCCAGCGTCCCTAACGGCGATGTCACCTGCTGGCCCCCAGGACCAGGATTTAAGCCTGACTCGAAGCTGGGCTCCAGACTAAGGCTGGGTTCTGCTGCCATCTGATGGGGAAGGTGGGTCTGGATAGACCCGCCAGCTTCTCCATGCCCTCTTGTGCCCTGGTCAGAAGGCAGGCACACACTGAGAGATGCTCGATACCCAGGTGCCTCTCTAAGTACTGGGCAGCAATGTCTGAAGACGAGGCTCCATGAAGCCGTTCTTGTAAAGACAATTCTTTTTCTTTAGAGACATTTTTGCGAAAGGGCACATGCTCTTGCCAGAGAGACAGAGAGCAAGAAATCACCCCCAGGGGGAGAGCCAGGCTGCAATCCCTTCTCCATTCTCCTCTTGGGACTGGGGGCATACACGCACACGTGCTCGGTGTATTTGAAGCTGCCAGATCTGGGACTCGAATCGTGGTTAACTATGTGCGAGTCCAGCGACGTAACCATTAATGCCATCTGCTAGTGCCATCTTTTAAAGAGAATTCTAAGGACCTCTAGCAACTCGTGTTTATTGAGCACACAGTACATGCCAAACACTTTCTTTTGTCGATCTTTGCAATAACCATGTGAGAAAGACACCATGATTAATCCGATTTTAGAGATGAGGAAACGGGCCCGGCATGGCTAAGTCACCTTCCCAGAGCCCACAGGTTAGGTACGCAGGGGCTCTTAGGCCGACCCCAGAACCAGTGGTCTGAGCCATGATGCCTACTGCCGTCTGGCCAGGTCACCCCCATTCTGCCTGAGCTTGTTTCCCGCCTCACGGGTGGGGGCTCCCTGTGCAGATGAAGATCTGCTGTTGCTGCTCCAGGACGGGGGCCTCAGGGCCACCTGGGACCCATGGGGGACAGAGTGCTCATGTCCTGGGAGACCACGTAGCACCCACATCCACTCTTCCAGTGCTGTCCTGCAGGCCCTGTCACTGGCTCGCCAAGTGGCTACTCTCTTCCCCCAGGGCAGGGCACGAGGGTCTGCTAAGAGCTCCCACCTCCTCACAGATTGGACTCACTTATTAAAAATGGAGAAGTCGAAGTTCCAGCCCAGGCAGCGGATGACCCGGTCGTAGGCCACACGCATGGCAAAGTTGTCATTGTCGTCCTGGGGGAGGGAGATGGAGTCGGCACTCTGGTTAGTGTTGTCCTCCTCCAGGAAGTACTTGAGGGTGATGTGGAACTTGCCCTCACGGTCCTTCAGGATGGCCAGATCCGCCAGGTCAGACTCGAGCAGCCCGTCCAGCGACTTCAGCTGGTAGGTGTCCAGCAGCCCGTTGTTGATGGCTCTGGGCCCAAGAGAATGCAAGGAGCGGGGAGATGTGGATGAGGGTGCTTGCCGGTGGGGTCAGGGGAGCTCGGGGGCGGTTCTCCCCACCTCGGGGCGCACCTGTAGAATGCGCAGGCGGGGTTTAGCGTACCTGAGGTCCCCGACGTAGTGCGTGGCCCAGGACAGCCGGACCCGGGAGCGGCTCAGCATGTGGATGAAGTTTGTGACACCCAGGATGTTCTCTGCTGTCTCAAAGGCTGCATTACCCCGGCCCAGGATCAGCACATTCTGACCCACGAAGTCCTCAGGGTCCACAGACACAGACTCATAACCCTCCACGTGTTCGGAGCCAGGGAAGTCGACCTGGTTGGGGACCGACAAACCGGTGGCTACAAGAAGGACACTGCAGTGGGGGACAGAGAGATATCTTAGTCTCTCAGCTTTGAGACCGCTAAGTGAAAATCCCTCTCTGGACCCACCTGCTTCACCCCAACTGCTGGCTCCCAACAAAAAACAAGTAGATCTTCATTCACTCACTCACTCACTCATCCATTTGCTGACCCATCCCAGGGTACCTGGGAGACTAAACCATGCCTTGCGCTGGGTCATGGTGAGGTGCATAACATTTTCCTTAATGCTAAACTGGGATTTTTTTTTTTTTTTGAGACATTTTTGCTATAGGGTTTGTGCGCTTGCCGGAGAAACAGAGAGACAGAGAGAGATAGAGAGAGAAATCACCCCCCAGGGGGATGGCCACACTGCAATCTCTTCTCCATTCTCCTCTCAGGATTTTGGGCATGCACTCACATGTGCCCGGCATGTTTTTTTTTTTTTTCCCCAGAGGTTTTTGCTATGGGGCGCGTGCGCTGACCAGACAGACAGAGAGAGACAGAGAGATAGAAAGCGAGAAATCATCCTCCAGGGGGGATGGTCACACCACAATCCCTTCTCCTCCATTCTCCTCTTGGGATCTTGGGCACGCATGCACACGCGCCCAGCATGAGTTTTAAGCCACCAGGTCCGGGACGTGAACCGCGGTCGACTATGTGGGAGTCCAGCGACATAGCCATGACGCTAACTGCTGGCCCCCTCCCCGGCATGTTTTAAGCAACCAGGCCCAGGACACGAACCGCGATTGTCTATGTGAGAGTCCAGCCACATAACCATTATAACGTCTGCTGGTCCCCGCTGAACTGGGATTTCAACAAACAAACAGAAACTAATTCTGGTCTGAGAGAAGGGTGATGCTATGAGAAATTAAATAATTCCCCTAATGTTGAGCCCAGCAGTCAGATAGGTATGGCCCTCAGTGGTGAGAATGAAACCTGATGTGCTTTCTCCTTCCCACCTTGCCTGGCAGATACAAATACCTGGACGAGGCCCTGTACTCTGTGTGTGTGTGTCTGTGCACATGTGGGTACTGTCTTATCTACTCTCAAAGGCAACCCCGAGCTGGGGCTCCGTGGCCTGCTTTACAACTGAGGAGACACAAGCCCTGCAGGCCCCTGACCTCAGAGTTCCCCAGGACAGCAGAGCCAGCAGCTGCACAGAGACGCTTGATCCCAAGGACCCGCTCTTTAGTTGGTGGGTATTGCAAGGCAGTGGCAGGCCGTGGGGAGGCTGCTGGCAGCCTGCTGCAGAATGGTTCCACCACGGGTGACTTTTAAAGAACTGGATGTCTATAGAAGGGGCAAACACCTCTACTGATCCTTGTCTATTCTGCTGAGATCTGCCACCCCTCCACCGTAGCACAGCTGCTAAAATGCATGAGTCCCTGTGGATCCTACCCTGCTTTCCCCGGGCTTTGACAGGCAGGGAGCAAGGCTGGGCTTCCAGTAAGAGGCATGAGAAGATGAACACTGGCTGAGCACCAGGAAAGGGCAGTCTGGTGTAGCAGAAAGGTTAGCTCTGGAGTCAGGAAAATATGAGATTGAAGAGCAGTTCCAACACTTATTTTCTGGGTGACACAGAACCAGTTACTCAACTTTTCTGAGCCTCGGTTCTTCATCTGGAAAATGGAGATCAGTGAACCTTCCCATAGGTTCCTGGTGCAGACTAAGCAAGTTTGGGGTATCTAACAGCAAGCTATCTCCCTCTCCCAAGCCACAGGAAACCGAAGCCGACTGCTGGTGGCACTGTGCAGAGGCCTTCATGCTCTTGTTCAGTTCTGAAATTCCATGGGGCTGCCTCTCATTGCTAGACATGTGGTCCAGCATTTCCCAGAATGGATTTTGGGGAACACTAGTCCCAGGAGACGCTCTACAAAAAGGGTTTTATGGGTACGTTAACTGTTCTTATGCGTAATACTTTACCCCATGGGGGCATCATAGTGAGTAAGAAGATATTAGAGAATGACGAACCCTGGGGGAAAGACATCACTCATATTTTCCAAACATACTTGACCAGTTTGGGGGACACACTAGGCAAATGACGGATGCACGGAACCTCTTAGCACCGAATTTCAGTGCGAGCGAGGGGCTGCAGACATGCCCAGCTCAGCAGGTGAGCTTACCTGCACCGGTAGGCCTGGCCCTTCTGGTCCGTCAGCACGAAGTAATGGCCATTCCAGGCCTGCCGGTCCTTGTCCAGAGTGACGTGGGCAATGGTCGTGTTGTACAGGACCTGGAGCCCCAGCCTGTGGGTGAAGTCACGTAGGTAGCGCACCATGTCACCGGCATCAGGGAAGTAGGCTCGCGAGTAGTGCCTGAACAGCAGCCGGGGGTCGTGGCTGAGCAGAGAGTTCCAGTCGTGGCGCAGGTTGAACTCGGCGTTGGTCTTGCCGGTGTACCGCTTGTTGATGCTGATGAGCTTGCGGTGTCGGGGGTAGCGCAGGAAGAAGCTGCCAGGCCCTGGGGTGCGCTCGAACACTGCATAGTCCCTCCCGGCCAGCTGCAGGAAGTAGGCCATCTGCAGGCCTGCAGGCCCGGCGCCCAGGATGCAGTAGTCTCGATGCAGGGCCACCGAGGCCTTGGCCAGGCGCATGGAGAGAGCTGGGTGGAGGGCGATGGTCAGGAGCAGTCCCGGGGGACCCCACAGTGGGGCCGCAGCGGAGACACCCATCCTGCGGCAGCGCTTGATGGGTGAAATTTCGTACCAGAATGACCCCAGGGGATGGAGTGCAGTCCCTTCCTCCCCGTGAGGAACTAAGGTCCAAAAGAGGGTGGAGCTTGTCCAGGCTCACCACGATTTGGGGCAGGGCCAGGGCCAGAACCCAAGGACCTCAGAGCTCATGTACTCTGACTCCATCTTTTCAAGTTGGGCCCTGGGGCTCCTGCAGCAGTCCCGGACCCTTTCATCTCATCTTCCTTCAGGCTCGTCGCTCCCAGGGATGCCAGTCCCTTCTTAATGCAATGGCAACCTGCATTTGGGGGTGGAGAGAGTGTTCCCCCAATTTTTCCCAGGATGCACACCACCTCTCTGGGGCCCTCCCCTGGCTAGACCTTCCAGAGGCACAATTCTCTTTGGCTGTCTCGGCCCTCGAGCTGAGACCTGAAGGAACCCCTGTCAGGCTCCGCACCCCAGGCCCTCCCGCCACGTGAGAGGGATGCCTAGCACACCTGCTGCCCTCCTGCCGGCGCGCTCTGGAGTCGGCCGCCCGCGCGTGCGCAGTGCCCAGGCCGGCAGCTGCCGCCTCCCGGCTGCCCACCCACCCCCCAGCAGAGCTCAAACCCAGCAGTTGCTCCGACTGCAGCCCGCAGGCGAGTGAGGCCAGGCTTGGATAGCTAGGACGGCGGGCCCCCCCCCCCCGGCCGACCCACCGCAGAGTGGAGGCTTGCGGCTCCTGGCCCAGAGCTGGCAAGAGGCGCACGTGCTACGCGCGCTAATACGGGGATTAGCGGAGAGGGTCTGGGAATGGAGTACCCCTGCGAGGTTGGAGAGCAGATCCGGAAAGGGGCATGGGGCTTTTCTTTTCCAACTTTGCCTCTTCTCGTAAGAGGGATGGGAACACATGATCTTTGGGGATAAGCCCAGCTATGTTCCCCCATAAATGTGGCTAAAGACAATTACTTGGTCTATCCAGTGTGTGGAACTGAAATGGGGGTGAAGCCAGGGCAGATGAACCAATTAACAAGCGTTTGTTTAGTAAGTAACATACATCAGATTGGGCCTCCCACCAACTAGAGGTGGGCAAAGGGTTCTGTCCCAACATCTTGTAGTTGACTGGTCAAATGGAAGCGTGGGGTGAAGTGGAGCTTGGGATTAAAACCTAAAGGAGGGAATGTGAATGGCAATAGGGAGATGAACCACAGGATCAAGGCTGGCTTCATGGAGGTAACATGGCCCCTGCCAGCAGCATATGTAACTTTCAGATGAAGTACAGGGACCTTCGAAAGGCACTACTGGGTCAGCAGATGGCACACTTGTTATGTTGTTGGACTCCCATGTAGTCAACCCCTGTTCCAGTCCAGGACTGGTAGCTTAAAACTCATGCTGGGCATGTGCTAGGTGGCCCAAGATCCCTAGAGAATGGAGAAGGAGTTGCGGTGTGGCCATTCCCACCCCCACCCCCGCCAGGGAGTGATTTCTCACTTTCTGTTTCCTGGACGGACCTTTAGGAAAAAACAAAAACAAAAAAGGCTGGGGCCTCTCTAGAAAAAACTCGGCTGAGCTGAGGCCAAAGCACCACTAAGGAATGCCACGTCTCTTCTTCCCAGACTGTCCACATCAGAAAAGCTCCTTTAGAGCCGTCCTCCTCCGTTTTCACTGTAGTGACCTCAGGGCTTTCCCTAGAATCTGGCATCCAGAGTTCCCCATCAGCACTTGCTGAATAAGCATTAGAACCAGCCCCGTGGACAAAACGCCTCACCCCTACCCAAGTAGGGACATCTGTTTTTTAGTTGGCTGTGAAGGCTGTAAAGCGTACTGGCAAATAGGTCTGTAAATTAGTTGATTTGACTTGGAGAGCAGTGGGAAGTGGACTCCTAAGACAGGGCAGGCACTAGGCTGCCACACAAGACTGTCTTCAGCAAGCAGCTTGGTAGCCTCCATGGAACAGAGAAAAGCATAAGCCAATGCGAAATATTAGAGAAAGAGCTTGAAAGTAACCTTCACTTGCTTCAGTTAATCCTCCCCTATCAGGCTATGGGTTGGCAAGAGGTAATTGGGTGAAATCTGATCCAAACTTGAAACCCCACGGGCTTGTCGCACCACTTGACTGCTTTTCTAGGACAGGATCTTGCCATGCTGTGATCCTCCTGCCTGTCTCTCAGCTGGGACCACACACACATGCCACCATACCTGAATCTTTAGACAGGGTCTCGCAATATTGCCCAGGTCAGCTTTGAGCTTACGATCCTCATCTCAGCCTTCCTGTTTCAGGGGTTGAAACTGCACCGAGCCTCAGGTCAGACCGGGACTTGAACCGGGGCTCCATGTGGTCCTAGTCTATGGAGCAGGCTTAGAAGCAGTATGCCACTGCATCTAGGTCTTTTTAAACTTACATTGAAACCCCCCTAAGCATGTTCTGCTTTGTCTTTCCACTCCCTCTGATAACAAAGCTTAATACACTAACGTTTTTAAAAATAAGTTTTTGCTACAGGACGTGTGCACTCATGGAAATAGAGAGCACCCCCTAGAGGTATGGCCATGCCACAACCCCTTCACGTCTCTTCTTGGGATTTGGGGATGGCAAACACACCCCACCTGCTGGTCCCTGCTTGCTTCCTGAAGCTGTTACTCTGAGGCTGTAACTTCAGGAATGCTGCTCGAACTGAGCTTGCTTCCTCCTCCATGCAGTGGTGTCACCTTCAGTGGTGCAGCGCTCTGTAGGTGACTCAGAGACACAGCAGGGTAATTACTTCACCATGTCCCAAACAGAACAGTCCCTGCTTATGGAGGAAATTCATGGATCCTCTACCTTCCAAACGCTTATTTATAAAACTTAGATTTGTGGGTACCAATTTGCGATTGTCACTAGCCTAAGTCAAGCTTGAACACAATGTACAAACCATTCAAATCAATGCCCAGTGGGAGAGCCAAACCCTTCCGAGGCCCTTTCTGCATGGGCAGCAAGCCTGTGACAACGATGTCCTGCCCCCAACCCCCACAACTTTTTAAAAAAGATCTTTTTATTCTTCAATTTGATGGGAGAAAGCTGTGAAAGCAAGCCACCAGGTCTGGGACTTGGATCCCAGTCGGCTGTGTGGGCATCCAGTGCCTTAACTACCATGACATCCTGCTGCCCTCCCCCCTTTTTTTACTAGTGACCCATGACCCATTTTTTTTTTGGGGGGGGAGAGGCTTTTGCTATAGGGTGCATGCGCTTGCCAGAAAGACAGAGACAGAGATAAAAAGTGAGAAATCACCCCCGGGGGGTATGGCCACGCCTCCATCATCCTCTCGGGATCTTGAGCATGGATGCACAAGTGCCCAGCGTGAGTTTAAGCCACTGGGTCCAGGACTTGAACTGCGGTCGGCTACATGGGAGTTCGCGACATAGCCATTATGCTAACTGCTGGTCCCTCCTGTGACCCTGTTTTCAGCAACAATAGTGCTCCAAGGTGACAGCCAGCCAGGCACGATGCTTGTGGCAATGGCCTTCCCACAGGTCCTCCAGGAGGTGCTACGCGGCTGCCAACTGCCCACAAGAGACTTCCGAGGGGACCAGGGCACTCCCCTTCCAACAGGGATGCAAAACCACTAATGGTCAGAGCAAATGAGGGATCCCAGACCTCAGACTCCAGGAGGAAGCTGCGCAGCCTCACGCCCTCTCCCCAGGGCTACTTGGAGAAGGAGGGGCTGTAAGTCATGAATGCAGGCAAGTGACAGAGGACGAGACTGAGCAGATTTATACTTTATTCCAGCTGTCAAACGTCAGAGAACAAGGTGAGCAGTCTGCAAAGCACGGCCCTCCTAGCTTGGTGGACTTCAAACTTCAGCCCGACACCACGGTCTGGTTTTAAGTTTCCTCCTCTGAAAGAAAAGAGAAGAGACATGAGCCGTGTTCTGAGACGTGAAGTCCAGCTTCGTTTCCGAACCTTTGGTAAACTGCTGTGAGTCTAAGACTGACAGGCACCGGCAGGGGAAGCAGGAGGTGCCTTGAGCTGAGCAACTAACCCAATGCAGATTCCCCTCCTGATCACCGGCCCGTCAGGGACCCCACTGCCCGTGTCCGGAGGCCTGTGTCTGTACAGCCACTGCTCTAAAAGCCCACCTTCCTCCCCAGCCCCTGGTGATCTAAGGGCTCTGGAAGAAGCTCATGGAGCCAGAGTCACTACTTCTCTAAGCCACGCCTCAGGGAACTTGCACAAAGTTTTGTTAAGGTTAAACATGACAGAGGCTGTAGAGCCTGCTCCCTTGCCGGCCTACAGATCACTCTGGCCTCAGGAAGAGACTACTACCCACCTTCCTCCTCCTCCTCTTCCTCCTCCTCCTCCTCGTCATCTTCATCAGAGCTGAAGGTGCCGTCAGGCAAGCTGTAGACGCGGATGACCTGCTTGTTGGGGTCCTTGAGGATGAGGTACTTGCCCTCCTCCAGCTTCATGCAGATGTCGATGACGCAGCGCAGGATGCCCCAGGCATTCTCCACACTTAGGTTGATCTGGCTGGCAAACTCGTTGGGCTTGAACTGCTGGGTGCCCAGAATGACGTGGCGCGAGGAGTCTTTCACGTGGTACCGTGACACGTAACTAGTGGGGAAGAGACGTCAGCGGTCAGAGCGGGCAGCACTGAGATGGCAACACTGGGGGCCAAATGTCAATTAAATGGCGATCCCTGGTCTGTTCTTGTTGCCAAGGGAAAAGAGAAGAGGCAAGCCTCTACCCCCTGGTCCAGAGAGTTCCCCTCCTTTCAGAGCAGTGCACTCTCCCGGGCGGAAATCTCACCCAAGCTTGAGGTATTCGGATCCGGCCAGCAAAGCACAGCAGGTCCATCGGGCCAGCTTGTAGCTGTTGTTCTTCAGCTCAGTGGCGATGACAGCCCCCCGCTGAGAGTCCAGCTTCTGTCGCCAGTCCACGCCATTACAGTGCTGGGGAAGGAAGGCCCTGGTTATGGGGAGGCAGCTCCTTATGCCCAAGGGGCTGGGATTTCCAGTGCAGAGGAGCTGCCTGGTCGGCCTCACCAGAAAGCAGGTAAGTACACGTCACCAGAGAAGACTGTTATGAGTTGGGAAACAGAGACATGGTCCCTCTCCTTGCATAGCCTGCTACTAGCAGTACTCCATAAATTCCAGTTCCTCAAGGAACACACCTAGGCAGGGACTGATGGGGACATGTGTGCACGCATGCATACAAAAAATTAAAAGCAAGTACCATGTAAGTGGCAGAGGCAAAGTTCACACAGTTGTGTGAAGGGCTTCACAGAGAGTGTTAGAGTCAACTACATGGAGAATACTTGCAGAACTGAGGGGGAGGCAGAAGGTCCTGACCTGAGAGGCGTGGTGTGAAAGACAGGCCGTGAGCGGGGACAGAGGCTCGCAGGGGGGAGGAGTTCAGTCTGATGTTTTATACATACATACACGCACGCACGCACACCAGAAAGGGACCCTAGAAGGATCATTTTTTTCCACCTACTTATCTGGAAAGCTGAACCCAGAGTGAAGTGACTGGTCACATGGCAGAGGGTCCCAAACTTTCTTAGTGGTGACTCTAGGCCAAAAGAAATACTGCACCCCTCCCCCCCAATTTTTAGTGAAAGCAAAGGGTCGTTTATTAAGAAAAAGCCAACGTAC